ATGGCACTGTCTTTGCCTTCTTTTTTGATGGAGATTGCAAATGGTGCCATTCCATACTCTGCCATTTCGTTTCAGGCTCGAAATGGTGAAACCAGCTTTTGTCACCTGTCACAATACAGAGCAAAAAATCATCGCCTTCGTGTAAATATCTCTGCAGCAGTTCTGAGGTGATGGTGTTTCGCTGACCTTTGTGGTCTTCGGTCAATAACCGTGGGACACAATGAACACAAACTTTCCTATAGCCCAAGCTTTCAATCATCCATGATTTATTTAATCCGTCTTGCAGTGCATACACTCATTTATCTCCTTCATGGACTTAAATCAGTGCAACAGGACGCTAAAATATAACTTTCAATCATCTCCTGTACTGCACTGTGCCCTATTCCAAGTTTCTGGGCTATTGTGTCCACAGTCACATGCCTGTCATCTTGAATGATCTCATTTATTCTTTCCTTGTTGCGTTCAGTTGAGGCTGTTTGAGGACGACCACTCTGAGGCTCATCTTTGATGCTGGTGTTCCCATCTTTAAAATGTTTCACCCATCTTCGAACACTGCTCGCACCCATGCACACACTTCCATAAGCACACTGAAGTCTCTGGTGAATTTCTGCAGCAGGGATTTCCTGTTTCACAAGAAATTCGATGACAGCACACTGGCAAAATGACATTTCGTTGTTGGCCATTTTGTTAGGAGTGATACTGGTCACGTGATGCAAGCTATTGACGTCACAAGACACTCAAGGTTAACACAACAGCTGGTTCCACCTACCACCATACTCTCTCTCATCTGCTGTTCCCAGGTTGCATGCAAAAGAAGTTGCTCATGACTTTCGGTACGACCTATGTAACTGTATAAGGCTGGCACAGCCAAACACACATATTCACTGAAGCTGGTGATAAGTACTACAACATGTTCATCAACATTAATATCAAGTACAAAACAACAACATACACTGGGAAAATTACCTGTTGAGCAAAAAATATATTATTGACAACCTCTTCATCCTTAACAAAACTTTCACTCTGGTCCACAATCTTCCTTCGAGAACGTCTTTCCTCAATCCAGCGGAACAAAAAAATGAACCCATACACTGGACCTTCAAGAGACTTTTGGAGATCATAAATTTCTTCCACCTGTACACCTTTCACTCCAAAATCTTCCAGCAGCAGTGTAAATAATCCTGAAAGATATGCAACTTTCATGTTTATATTTTATACAAACAATATTATTACATCCTAACAAATTTATTAACACCCTGGTACTGTCAAACTCAAAATTCCAGTATAGCAGAAACAAGAACTGGCAACTGAACCAATCTTGAGTAAGATTAACAAAATCTGCATCATCAGAACCAACTTCTTGAGAGAACTGAAATGCTATTCATCTACAGCAACTAATTGTGTTGAAAGTAAAATTTTTTTTCTATGAACTTCCCACTAATATTTACTTTCCTGCTTTCTCCATATACTTCGCATGTACAACAAAAAATGGTAACTCCAAAGAAAATCTACTCTTTGATCAACTACCTGCTGTGAACATTCTTTGCACGGCCTGTTCTTTTGGATCTGTTGTATTGAAGCATCAGTCTGTTTACTATGAGTATATTTCATCTATAGCATGGCTGAAACATATCACTGAATAAGTGGTGTTTCAACCAATTACCAGTGAAGCTGAACTGAAGACTGTATTGTGTGCATGTGTATATGTGTGTGTGTTTGTGTATACACTCTCACATCAAGTGATCCTACTTCATACTTAGGTTCATGATTTTCCTCAGTTCTTCTATGCAAATGCCAGTGTAGTATTTTAAATTAAGCCTCTTCTTCCTTCCATGTCTTTCTAACTCCTTACTCAATAATTATCCTACAACTCATCACTAATGACAGCATCATAAAATAAACCATACATAATAAATGAACAAAATATCTGAAATACAAGCCCACACGTGACATCAGAAGTTCATTTCTATAACATGTAAACTATAACTGACTTGAATATGTTATGTCTTACACCCTATACAATAGTGTCATATGGTTCTACTTAAGCACATCATTCCCAAAAATAGCAGTACCCCTTCAAAGTAAACATGTTTACCATTCCTATATAGGACTTTACTCCAAATACGGTCATATGTTGAAAATGGAGACTGTAAATTACTGTTGGAATAAAAAATGCAATATGACAATTGTGTTATATGTCTTCACATAATAAAACGATATAATAACTGTTCTACGTTTACATAAACGCCTCTACTCAAATACAAGCTATGAACAAAGAATCACGGGTTCAAAACTCCTTTCGTGCACTATTATTATGTTAGATAACGTAAGAATCTCACGGAAAACATCGCATCTCTCCAAATACACATACAAGGAATATGTTTGGGGAAATAACACTAAAATTATATAACTCCATAACCGTTACAACGTACCTGGGTCACTTTCCAGTTCGAGCCATCCTTCTGTCAGTCTGTTTATATCAACTGGCATCCCGGTTACCTTCACAGCAATGAACTAGGCCACATATATCTTTATAAATATGTTACCGTCAGTATCGGTCAGTATCGTTGTGTCAATATCAGTAGAAGTATGCCGAGAAAGCAGAATTTAAACAGAAACGTCACTTTCTTGCCATAATCTTCTTGCATCCTCATCCGCCAGATGTCATTTCAAATGGAAATCCGTATTTGATGACAAGGGAGCCGGGGCAGCTCAGTCGGTACAGCAACGGCCGCAGCTGTCTACCGACTAAACCCCCCCGGACACTTTTCGTTAATGGCGGGCAACATAGCCTCGGTGACGTCACGTGTCATTACTGCTGCCATCTCTACGCAGACGTACCTTGACTAAATGAGAAATAGCCACCAGCAGCGGCACCGTGATCGATAAAATAGAATGCTACCATACCATCCTATGCGTCCTCCCCACCCTACCCCTTCGGAACCAACAGTTCACATGAATACCAATAGATAATTTTGCAACCACATCTCTTGTACTGCAGAGGTTCTTACTCCATTTTCTTTTTCTCAACTGGGTTCAATATCACTTCACTCATATCCGTTCCCAAGGTTATGAGTGAAGTGATACTGAACCCAGTTCAAAAAAAGAGGAAAAAAACACAACGTAGTAGGAACCTCTGCAGCACAAGGGGTCAGGTTGCAAAATCAGAAAGTTTCTCACCAGTGCCTGCAAATTCATAACATTTCATTCATATCAATCCAACATCATCTTACAACAAATGCATTGGACATTGTGAACTATAACATACACAGAATACTTGTGTTTAGGTAAGCTGAAGGTGGAGAACTTGAAAGAAAATTCTGTTTCCATCACACATACTTCTATTTAACCTCACACCTTTGGTAACAACTTACACTTGAAAGAACATAGATACATACAGAACATAGATTTTGGTTACATTAAAGCATTATAGGTCATATATAGCAAGCAGTAATACTGACGTTTCCATTTATTATTACTTTCATTAGAATGACATTCGGTACTGGACAGGATTATATGGCAAAATTACAACATATCTTACAGAATTACAATGAATATTGAAATATATTTGGGATAGAGTAACATATCTTACAGAATACTGGAAATCTGATATTCATCTTTCATTTCAGTAATGCAGAGGATTATATGGCAAATTATTATATATCTTACAGAATATTGGAAACTGCTGACTTGAGAACTCACTTCTGAGCCGTCGAGTCCCTTGACCCTGTGGGTCAAGAACCCCGTTCTCCTACCCACTTAGACCCGTGAACTCCTGCTCAATATGGGTAAGGGACAGGCTCATAAGACAACTTGCTTGTACGTGATGCACTATGCCTCCCCAAGGTCGAGTAGGGGATCTCGGGAGAGGAAAACCACTGTCGGCACTATGGGCCAAGCTGGACAGATCTGCTAGTCTGAACTAGTAGGGAACACACACAACCCAAGTATACACAAATACGACTGGCGTTTCCAACATATAAATAAATGTGTATATTGATAACAAAAGTATACAGGTGTACTCTGCCTGATGGGCAGGCACTGGTCAAAACATAATCAACCGTTTATACAGAATTACTCTGTGGCTAAGCGCACAGACGCAAGCATAGGCACGCCTCATGGCATTGATCAATTTTACTAGGAAAAGACTGTACTCTGGCGAGCCTTAAGGGTACAAAGAAATATACACTCGTACTGACACGCCTGAAGGGCGACCGGCTATTCAAGCCAACTCAAACTTCAAACAAATCCATTTACTTACGCCACACGGCGTCGTGATGAAAAGGAAACCAAATACAACAGTAAGTCACTTACTGGCGTTTCCAAATTTACGAACACAAGCTTAACCTCGCGACTTGATACAACCTCGATCACGTCGCGAGGGCACTCTTCCCCCTTCGGATACTGCAAGGGCCGAAACGAAATTTCACAAACTCAATTCAACCTAAACACAGAATTTAGAAGCAGCGAAGTTACCTGACCGGAGGTATCGGGAAGAGAGAACGACGCATTCATTCAGCGTAACCAAGAAACCTCGCATTGCTTCCAGGAGGGGGGGGGAACAAGGTCAGCTGACCTGATGTCAGCTAAGACTTTAAGCGGAAAGAAAGAGGAACGGCTCGCAACCTGGCGTNGGGACTCCAAGGAACTTCGCAGAGAAGAACCGTTGCACGGTTCACTTCGGTGGCTGGTACTCTTTTAACTCGTTCACTGCTGACTTGAGAACACACTTCGGCGGCTGATACACTTCTAACTGCCTTCGGCGGCTGTGTAGTTCCCTTATATAGTCGCAGTGTTTCCCTGCTACATAATGAGTACCGCTGTTGCCTGACACCGTGTCGACAGAGGCGTTGCGGGCCACGTCACAGTGCGGAGGGAGGGGCGGAGCGCTGACTCAACCGCCACGTCACTGCTGGGTAGGGAGGGGGTGTCCTCCATTGCGCAACATGTCACAATATCTTATAGAATACTGGAAATCTGATATTCATCTTCCATTACAGTACTGGACAAGAATAATTGGCAAATATAATAACATACCTTATAGAATACTGGCAATCTTATATTCATCTTTCATTTCAGTAATGCACAAGATTATATGGAAAAATTAATAACATATCTTACGGGATACTGGAAATCTGATATTCATCTTCCACTTCAGTACTGGACAAGATAAAATTGCAAATTTAATAACATATCTTACACAATTTTGATTTGTTTCATCCTGGTCCGTCACACTAACAATATTATAAAAGGTTAATTAATTCTGTCCAGTGTGACTGGACATCAGTGACATCAGTTACACTGGATGGAATTAATTAGCCTTTTATAATAACTTCCAGAATACTGTATATCTGATATTCATCTTCCATTACAGTACTGGACAGGATTATGTGGCAAAATTAATAACATGTCTTAAGGAAATGCAATGATTATTGGAAATCTTATATTCATGTTCACCAGTTCAGTACTTGGCAGAGTAATATGGAGAAAAATAAGAAGGAACACACCCACAATAACGATAAAACAGAATAATAACAAAAATATTAAAATAGTTAAATAAATTATTAGAAGGAATGCACCCATAATAATAAAACAGAATATACCAAAAACAAAATAGGTAAGTAAATTATACAAAACGTCCTACCCACATTGAATCCTGATACTGATCCTGCTTCTCAGTGTTACCTGCTGAAGCAGATAACCTGAACATTCCATGACAATTGTAAAGTAATGCCATTTCATTCTTACCTACACATAAAGAAGAACCATGTGTGTCAGAAAACAATTTCCCATAGAATTCTCAATTGAAATACAATTACTTGAAGGTAAGGGGCAGAATGAGCTCTGACCCAGTGAAGTTCTAATATACTGCAACAAAGGAAATATTCGCAAAGCAGGGAAGAGATGGAGCTCAAGTTGAGAATAGTTTTTTTTGTATATAAGCCAATTGTGGATGAAAATGTTATCATGTGAATGCACAGTATTTTCTGTTGCTGTAATAAAACTACTTGTCACCAGGGTTACTTTCTCCAACTTATGAAACATCTAATGATGCTCATGTGACTAGTTGGCACACATATTCTTCCAGTAATTCCATAACCGCTCTCTGTCAATTTCCAGGGATGGTATGGGCAGGACGTTACAAGGCAAGAATGAAGAACCATTACTTTCCTAATGACTTACTGATGTGTCAGTATCTCAGTCTTCCTCTCTGTGGCCCTCCACTGGCTGCATCAGGCATTAATCTGTTTCTTCGCTTACATCATCAAGGAATGTATATTCTTGTGAGACATCTCACAATACCATCTACTCTTCATTGGTAGTGAAGTAAATAGCCAGTACACCTAATCCACTCGAAGTCAATGGTGCTCTCAATGGCAGCTCTGATATGCTGCTCCACTGAATTCAAGTGGGCCACCTCTGACATCATAGACTCCATCAGAGCTATAGCAGTACCAACAGTTTCCAAACCACTTCTCAGAAGGACAGGTGAGAGACTGTTCTGTATCAGTGTACTTCTTGAAATATATGAAGACATTGGCTGATAGCAGCATTTCATATGTTAAGCATGTCTTGTCTGCATCACAGTTGATGCCAAGAAGCACCTTTCTGGCAATGGAACTACTGACGTAGACTAATGAGAACACTTCCCTGTCACTAGCATATACTGCAGGACTCAAGTCCATCTGTACTTGCTCAGCAACATGGAAACTCTCAGGCACACCAGCAGGGGTTTCCTTGTCATGAGTTGTGGAAGGATTTCGTGAAGCAGCATCCGGCGCCCTGAATGACTGTAGTTAGAGCAGCACCATCATCCTCACAACTAGTTTCATCCAGACCTCTAAAAGCAAGGCCAATGATGATGCTAGTCTTCAGGGCATCTACAAACTGTCCCATAGTTGGATTATTGTTCGAACCACAGTACAAACGAATAGCCCCAAATGTGTTCTCCAGAGGATCTTGAGTCAGGTTTTGGGTGTGAAGGTACTGAAAACCCGCCTATTTCAATGTCCTCCACACCTGTTGGGCAGCAGTAATGTCTACTAGCCACCCATTCTGTGAAGGAGGAGGATGAAAGGCGGGTTTACCATCCTTGAGGAAGATTCAACTGTTTACCTCCATACTTGCCTCTTTCCAGTGCTCTATATTGTGGACTGTTATCCCTTAGTGGGCAACACAGTGTTTTCCCAGTGTCAACAGCGGTTCCACCATTTAAACTCTCAAAGGGTTTGTCTAAACCCAGCTGTTGCCATGTATTCACTGCAACACCCTCCTGAATGAACAAAAGAAAAATGCTTCCTTACATGGTAGATTACCATAATTCTTCGCATTGGGAGATAACACACATTACTTTACAACACACTGCCTCTGTGATTCATTCACCACAGCGCTGGATACTAGACAACTACTACTTCGACTTCTCTAATACGGTCCTTAGAGCTCTTATGATTAAAAGAATTATGTGCAATGCAACTCAAACACCCGAAGCTGACAGTAAGAAATCACCATGCTCCATAACAGAAACCATTCTAACTTGGTTCACAGACATTAATATTTCTCAAGGAATTAATTAAATAATTTTCCTGGGCAGTAAAGCGCGGCTGGCGCGTAAGGCTGGCAACCTTACCGCCATCTTTGAGCCGATTGTCTTGATAATGTGAGACCCTCAACGTCTCACAACCCTATAGGCCTTCACGGCCTGGTACAGGGATAGCTTTACTTTTTTTTACTTTACATTCATCACACCTAACCCCATGGTGTCATATATTTGTTACCTACTCATCACAAGACAAACAAAATTATCAGGAATATATTTAAACCTAAGAAGGATCACATCTCAGCAATTAAGGACACTGATCTAACTATAAATATATCACCCAGAATTTCTGACACTTTTGCAGCCTCACAAGTAGGAAGTATTACAGGGCACATAACATTCATACTAAATTTTCTGTGGAGAAACCTCCTGGAAAGTGGATCCTTGCAAGATGGAACACCTCATGGCAGAATAACATTAAAGCAGGAAGTATTAATAAGCAGATATCTGGATCACAGGTCGATTCAACTGGCTATACATCACATCCAATGAAGAACTCCGTGACTGTGAGTTTCAACCTTCACATTCTGCTGCTACAGCACTGCTTCTTAACATTCAATCAGTCACTTAATGTCTTCGCTAAGGTTTAGGACCATGATAAGCAGTAAACAGGTCTCTAATATAAAGAAAAACTGAGGACAACTACATTCACAGATGTTATGTACAAGCACACATAATCATTAAGAGCAATATAATCTTCACACTGGTAGAACACAATGGAAATACTAGGCAATGTTAAGAATGCATTTCCAGTAATATCAAGGGACAATATTAATGTCTGATGTCTAAATTCATTCCATTAAATTAAATTTCATCATTACTTATGCACAGTTGTGGGATGATAAGATGCTCAATGACAAGGTTCATAAACATTAATCAAGAAGAGGGTAATCGGTCCACCATACTCCAGTTAACCTCACATCTCAACCTGCCACTGAATACTTACTTTGTTCTTCTCACTAGAATAATCTGCTGTACATAACCAACATCAAACTCAATGAAGTCAAAAGAAATCCAGTCAAACTCTACACACTACTTGTAACTGTCATCACCCTCCGAAATGAGGGACAATACAAGAAACACGACTTGTTTCACTAACAGGGAAAAAAAATAATACTACTTGTACAATTAGTACCAGTGGATTCAAGGGAAATTCGTTTACATGGTACGAATACTATGCCACAGAAGCCCACACCAATGTAACTTTTATTTTCCTACACTAACCTAATATAGCATGGTGGAGACAAACCCTGTCACATTGTGTTCATGATTCACATGACTGTGCATTCGGGCAGGGAAGGGCCTGGTTCAGTTACCTGAGGTTATAACAACTGGGGCATAATATCAATGACTAAGAAACTGCAGGATCATGCTGTCAGAAACATTTTGCACACATCCAACTCTTCAAAATTCCCCAAGGACCTAAAACTTACAAAACTCTACACTTCACAGTGCTTAGTATTCCTGAAGACTGGCCTGGTTTACATTCGGTAAGTAATACTGGGAGTCTAGGGAACTGCACATAATCTTGGAGTTAAATTATGCCCCTTCCACACACTGCCCTGGTTTCCTGAGAGATGAACACATGGTTTTGACTGTACTTTCTTTTTGTCTTTCTAAAAACGTAATTTACCACATTCAGTCTCCAGTCATGTACAACACAAGTAGTTATTTCATTCTTACCTGCAGATCATGGTGCCAGCACATAAATGGAATTCACATATTCAGACCCATCACGTTATCTTGGAAGACATGGATTCTCCTGAAAAGTAGGCATATACCACGTATGTAGAATCAAATCCACTCCTTCCTTCCGCATGAACTGAAACACACATTGTGCACACCATTAAAGATTTGACAGGAACTTATTAAAGATGAGCAGATGGCTAGCAATAATTGGGCAATACTCCTCATTACGCACACATTCTGCTTGCCTCCAAGCTGCCTCCAATAAGCAGATTGGTCATCTGTCCATTGCGATGCCTATACCTACAAATTCCCTATACTCAACAAGCAGTACCAACGTTCCAATATATTGTAATAACAAGTAACCTGTATTGTATAACATTTCATCTTACCTCTCAATTATCTGTCGCTATCAACTAGAGCTACATTCTTCATTTAAAGGAGCAGGTAATGTCAGGCTGCACCCGAGGCATTCTCTTCAGTTGAAACATCGCCTCACTGTACATTTTGGCACAGCTCGGTTAGTTTAAATGGTGCATCATATCACTGTGTCCAAGAGTGATTCTATGTTTCAAGATATCTCACATATTTAAGTATTTATAATACTTATAAACCTTCACATTCCCAAAAACCTCAAACCTCCCACACTTTACACAATATCCCCAAATTCAAAACTGCATGATATATACTTTCATATTCCTAACAACTATTCAACTTCTATAACGCAGACAACCATTCTTATCTATCAACTTTCACATTTTACTATGATTTACCAACTTAAAATAATTTCACTCTCAAACATCACAAAGTACCTTGCTCCTGCACGTCACTCCTTTTTCCTCCCGGCATTCTGGGTCACTTGTCTGAGCGTGTCTGATTTACATGGACTTCTAATAGGTTAGGTTGGGCGAGTTTACAACTCCACTGTCATGGGCATCTTACACCACCGTCACACACAGTTTTTGCAGCACTCAACAGACGAACCCGAGCAGCCTTTCTGTATTGTTGACAGTCGTATATATTATAGATTACCTTATTTGGCTTTCATCGTGTAAAAACGTATTGTAAGGCTTACCAATATACAGACGTGCAGCATAAACCTACCCCACTTTAAAAACACGTACGTACGTCTGTAATATCATGCGTGGACATGTGGATTCTGTTCAAGGCCACTGGCACAGAGTCCAATTAAAATCAAATACACTCTACCTCGATCAACCGATTAAAAAACATAATTAACCCATCCGCACACACGAACACAGCTAACACACACATCAAGATATATCACAAGATCAGATCGTAAACAGAAAAGTAAACGCATTTTCAGGAATCATAACTTATCTACGTCGACACTTACATTGCCTTCATGCTTCCAATTAACATTTTACTTGATGCAATGAATTTCAATTTGCCTTGGATAAACTATAAAATACAATTACAAGAATGTCAGCTGTAACAACTCGAGCTTTCCTCTAAACAATGTGATTCTCTAAGGAGTTCAATAGATGGAAAAAGAAAAATAATTCCATGATGCTGTACACTACCTGCTAGTACATGTAAGCCTGCAAGATTAGATGGCAAGAATGCAATTCGTTGTATATCACACCAAAATAAACATCTAACTTACAAATCCAATGCCATCATTCTTCATGCTAAAACATATACACTATAAACCACTGTGCACAACTTACACTGTAATTGAACAGAACTGGCAGCATAACACCAATAACATGTGTTTCACTTAGCATACCATCGAGATATAAGCAAGAATTCTTCATGCAAACAAGATATGTACATAAAAGGGGAAACTTTTGAACCCACTGTGGGTGAAGGGAAACCTTACATTCTTAAAAACACTTCAAAACGTCACTACACATCACTGTATATATTACACACAAAAATATAACATTACATTATCAGTTCGATTACAGGACGGTAATTTTTCACCTTATTTCTTTACACATTTTCGTGTATAATAGTATTCGACTTAATATCCAGGAAGGGAAATTCGGGCAAAACAAATGTCAAGCAGTCGCTGAATTGGTCGCGTATCCATTCACGAGAGAGAAGGGAACGATTTCACTGATAATAAAGATTTTTCGTCATAAGTTATGCCATTGGAGGCCAGCATAATGCCATAATATGTGATATTCAGTAATCACTTGTATCACCGTGGGGGATGCGCAAACTCGCGAGGTGGGAGCGGCGTATCGACACAATCTAAGCTATCACGTAGCAATATAACCTACGAATATCACAGCATAGAATGGTATTATGGGTGGGAAAACAGTCAACACGATCAATTTTATACATACCGTCATTTTTCGGTTTATATTCCATGTTACGACGGTCCTATATTACGTTCCGTTAAATAGCAGCTTCGTAAATGACGTCACTCTTAGGTGTGCGCAATCAAATACTGCGGATCCGCCTGTAACTAAGGGGTACCATTCGCTGAGGTTAGGCTAGGCTAGGTTAGATTGGGTTGAGCTGGCTTGGGTTAGGTTAGGTTAAGTTAGGTTTGCGCAGTAGACTACTGCACATCCATCTGTATCTTGGAGGATGCAAAGCTACGTAATTTACGCTAATATTAGTTTCTGAGTGTACATTATGACAAGCCTGCGCGAAGGACTACTGCACATCGTTAGGCTCAGTTGAGCCCTGTTTAGCCGTCTGCCATACCTTACGATTGAATGTCCCTGATAGCGTATGAAATCATTATATATTTATGCCTGACATTTTTTTCCCCGAATTTTCTCACATTATAAACTATTGCGTATTTTTTCTTCTAACCTCTCTACGTAATCTATTAAACCGGGAATATATTACGATATTTATAATGGTCCTAAATGCATTTTTCCAAAATATTGATATTTCAGAACGCTCTCAAGTGCACGATATCACAATTATCTTCGGTCACTCTTACAATTTCCAACAGTTCTCGAAATATTATCTTTTCGAATGTTCCCATTATTATCTTTATTATGTTTTTCGACATATGTGAAGCATATACATATACTTTATGCGAAAGGTATCCACCCCACAATACTAGCGCTCAAATATTACATAGGAAAATCACTCATTACGATCTAAACCTAACAAACTATCATTCAACTTTCTTATAAACATTAAAATAAAAAACCAACCCATCACTATAATGTTCAACACTAAGCTATAAAATACATTTACAAGAATGTCATCTGTAAAAACTCTTGCTTTCCTGTAAACAATGTAAGCAGTTTAATAGATGGAAAGAAAATAACTCACTGATGCTCTAATACCTGCTAGCACATGTAAGCCTGAAACATTAGACGGCAAGAATTCAATCCGTTGTCTATCACACCGAAATACACATCTAACTTACAAATCACTTGCCAACATTCTTCATGCTGTAACACATACTCTACACACCACTGTGCTCATTTTACACTATCACTGAACATGATGGCCAGCATAACACCAATGACAACATGTGTTTCACTTAGAATACCACCATGTCATAAGCAAGAATTATTCATGCAAATAATTTGGGATTTGAACTTACACATGTGACCAACGAGCTTCGAACTCAAGACACGTGATAATTTGGTGTCAGAATTTTTACGAGCTTAAATACGCCTCAGACAATTTTACTGCTACAAAATGGAGATGCAGCAGATATTCGAAATGCTGGCGAAGGCAGAGGCCAATAGAAAAGCCGACAAGGAAGAAATGGAGGCCAATAGGAGGAAATACAGAGATTTCCTGGCCAAATTAGACGCCGATACGAAAACCCATCAAGAAGAGATGAGGGCAAACCAAGTAAGAGCGGATGCCGACCGCGTGCACATGCAAGAAATGTTCCGCACCCATCAAGAAAAGGCGGAAGCAAATAGAAAAAAAGACAGAGAAGATTTCCTGGAGAAATTAGAATTCAATCAAGAAAAAACAAATAGCATGCTGACGAAATTAGACGCCTACTTCAATGCCTGGCAGAAAGAGACGTTGGCCTGCCCAGTGGACACGATACCTGCGACGGCACAACAAGAAAAGGTTCCCGTGGTGATACCGGTCGGAGTGACGATGGCCTGCCAAGAAATGGAGGCACGTCCAGAAGAAGAAGAGCCGACTTCAGCGAACAGGACACCTNCTTGGCGCCACGGTCTCGTGCCAGCAAGCGCCTGGAAGACCAGGAGGAACGACGACGTCAGTCAGTGCAAACAACGCATCAAGGGCTGTTACGTCGACATAAGGAACTTCTCATGGAAGACATAAACAAAGACTGGACACGGTGGAAGTGTCGACCGCCTCCAAAATGAAAAAGAAGGCTTCAAGCATAGGAGGAACCGGTAATGTAGAAGAACCGGCCTCCCCATAGAGAGTGAATGTGACATAGAATAAAAGTGATGGATGAATGGGACACAACTGGATCTTCCGGCGAGCTGAAAGGAAACCGCTCGAGACGAGCAGGTCTTAAGAGGGGAGCTGTTGTAACGGCCGGATGATAGTCGCTGCGAGAAGTATCCAAAACAGGAGATGCTGCAAGAACAGCCTCCCAAGAAAAGGAACGGGGATGCACCGTTAGGCTATTCGGGACGAACAGCCTTAAGGAGGGAGCAGTGTGACATGCTGCGCAACGAAGGACTCCTAACTCCCCAGCGGCACGTAGCGGTAACGTAGCGCTCGCGTAATAGGCGAGTCATCACACCGCCACTCTCCCCGCGGTGACGTCACGAGCGGAGCCGAGGTTAGCCGAGCCCCCGCAACCTCGTAGCTATGCAACGCGAGTCAACAGCGGTGACTTAACAGGATGACGTGGCACTAATTACGCAACAGGCAAGCACTGCGGCTATATAAGTGAGCCGCCCAGCGGCTGGGAGTCAGTTGTAATGTGACAGTCGCCGAGTGTGTTATCAACAGTTCTCCAGTCAGCCGACTATAGTTGGAGTATAGCCGCCGTCGCGGAAAGAAGAACCGGACGTGTGTGTAATTGTGTAACTGGGAGTGTGTGATACAGTGATACATAGCTCCCCGACAGTAAAGGTGTAGACTACTGAAGGCAGACTGAACTGATTTGCGCATAGGGTTATAAATCGTGAAACCCCGCAACAGTGTGAACAGATTAATGCGATTAGGGTTATAAAGTGTGAAACCCCGCAACTGTGTGATAAATAATTGTAGCCGTTACTTGTAGGTTGTTGAATAAACCAGTTAACGATCTCTACGGCGCATTCAATAACGAACACGTAACACTGGTGTCAGAACTGGGATCAATAAGCAGAAACACGTTACAATATGTATATACCATGAGAAGCTATTCAATCCATTGTGGGCGAATGGAAATCTTAACAGTCTTGAAAACACTACCAAACCTCACAACACATCACTGTATATATTACACACAAAAATATAACGTCACACTAGAGAATTTAAACTTCACTTTACACTCGAAATTATTCTGGCCAATACAACATACATTATACACACTACCCTGTCACACAGAACTAACGTCTGAGCTCAAACAATAACTTCTTCAATGGGAACTAGAAATTCACTTTGTACCCTCTTCTTACCAGTACTTTTACGAATGCAAAACAAAAGTATATCATTCTCACAAATAACCTCCTCACACGTGTAGTGTTCAGAGGCTACATACCAAAACAACAACTTGTTTTCTATCATACCACATATGCATCTATAAAACCTAATTCACTCTCTATACATATGATCACTAAAACACATTTCGTGCAAATCACTGTACATACTTCAAACGAGATTATTAATAATAGTGCAAGAATAACCAAATGACACATTGTCTTTCACTACACACCCACTCTTCTTACATGCACTTACTTTTCTTAAATCAATAAGTGTACGTTATGGTGTATTCTTCCTTCACTCATACACGTACTTCACATTCGGGTTTCAGAGGGAAAACACTTCGATTTCGTTGTGGAACAGAGTAAACACACGTTAGTAAAATTTCGTGCATGCGCCATCACACGGTCCAGGATAATACACAAATTAAAGCCTACCATTTGCACTATTTCACTGAACCTTTTAAGACATACTTTCAGGGAGATAATTAATCACAACTTGTACATATATGTATATAAACATACATATAACACCCTCTTATTATTTATAAACACCTCGTCATACAAGAAAAGAAACGTACCTTCATTTCCTGCATCGGATATTTACGTCACACTGACAGGGCAGCCAACCCCTTAACATGACTGAAACAAAAATATTCCATTATCAGTTCGATTACAGGAAGGTAATTTTTCAACATATTTCTTACGCATTTTCGTCTATAATATTATTTTACTTCCTATACACGAAGGGAAATTCGGGCGAAATAAATTCCAAACAATCGCTGAATTGGTCACGTATCCATCCACGAGAAAGAAGGGAACGATTTCGCGGATAATAAAGATCTTTCGTCATAACGTTGTCACTGGAGGGCAGCATAATGCCATAATATCTGATATTCAGTAATCATTTTTATCTCGGTCCGGCATGTGTAAACTCGTGAAGTGGGAGCGGCGTTTCCGACACAATCTAATCTACCACGTACTTAAATGACCTCGGAATATAAGAGCACAGATTGATATTATGGGTGGAAAAACTATAAAGACGCTCAATTTTATAAATAACGCCATATTTCGATGTATATTCCATGTTACGACAGTCCTATATTACG